CTTATAGGCATTTGACATAACTGTTATAACCTAACTTACAAATATAACTTCTGTTTATTAAATCTTTCTGTCAAGAGTAACCATCATTAGCTGTATTTCTGTGATAGGGTAAATTTGATTCTCTTGATAAAAGTGGAGCATTTGAATTGATAGTAGGCATATGTAGAAACATCGTGAATCTGTCAAATTGAGTAGTTTTTTCCTGGATAAAATTGAGGTGCAAAAGACATTGCACCATAGAAATTTGTGATGTGAAAGAAACATTTTTGATCTGGCAGTATCACTTTCATTTCCTTACAGCTTAGGAACTATTTTCAGCAGAGATGGTTTCAAAAAACGACCAGGGAAGTTTTTGTTTGGGATTTGTAATTTTAGTGGTTTGTTGGATGATTGGATGTCGGATGGATGATATTAATTTATTTTATAACTTTTCTAACTTGTTTTGTATTTCTTTCTTTTGAAGTAGCTTCGAGTTTTGTGCTGCATCTTTTGGTTGTGTTGAACTGCTACAATCTTTGTTTATTTGGTTTTATTTAAGCTTGAAATATGTCTAACTTAGACCATCTCGATTTAGTCCACGATATCGTATTTCTTTTTTTTTTCAGTACGGCGTTTTTTTAATAATTTTGTGTAGGCGAGTATTTAGTTACATGCTAAAAGGCTTTCCTAGTGAATAGGTTGTGCTTAACTTGAGAAGCGAAGAAACTGTTAACAGATTTTTCTTGCTTTTTTCTAACTAGAAGAAAACCTTTAAGGAATGGATCTCTCAGACTCGGGCTCTAGATTTTAAATTTGGTTAAATTTTGTTGCTTTCTAAGTGTTTTCAAAGACTGCTGTTAAGTTTGCAATAGTTCTCTGGTTTCTAATGTAAAATGTAGTGCTGGGTCGGTTTTGAAACCTTAAACATTCTTTTGGTATAGAGCTTTTTAAGGGATTTCTATTTTTTGGATTTTTAAGAGGCAATGGAACTCTGGGTGAAGTATGGTGGTTTTTCCAAGAGTGA